ATATTTAATATTTAATTTAATATTTAGTGTATATTTAATATTTAATTTAATATTTAATTTAATATTTGATTTAATATTTAATTTAATATTTAATATTTAATTTAATATTTACTGTATATTTAATGTTTAATATTCACTGTATATTTAATATTTACTGTATATTTAATATTTAATGAATATTTAATATTTACTGTATATTTAATATTTACTGTATATTTAATGTTTAATATTTACTGTATATTTAATATTTACTGTATATTTAATATTTAATTTAATATTTACTGTATATTTAATATTTAATGAATATTTAATATTTACTGTATATTTAATGTTTAATATTTACTGTATATTTAATATTTAGTGTATATTTAATATTTAATGTATATTTAATGTTTAATATTTACTGTATACTTAATATTTAATATATATTTAATATTTAATTTAATATTTAATTTAATATTTAATTTAATATTTACTGTATATTTAATATTGAATTTAATATTTACTGTATATTTAATATTTGATTTAATATTTAATTTAATATTTAATATTTAATTTAATATTTACTGTATATTTAATATTTACTGTATATTTAATATTTACTGTATATTTAATATTTAGTGTATATTTAATATTTAATTTAATATTTACTGTATATTTAATATTTAATTTAATATTTACTGTATATTTAATGTTTAATATTTAGTGTATATTTAATATTTAATTTAATATTTACTGTATATTTAATATTTAATTTAATATTTACTGTATATTTAATATTTGATTTAATATTTAATTTAATATTTAATATTTAATTTAATATTTACTGTATATTTAATATTTACTGTATATTTAATATTTAGTGTATATTTAATATTTAGTGTATATTTAATATTTAATTTAATATTTACTGTATATTTAATATTTAATGAATATTTAATATTTACTGTATATTTAATGTTTAATATTTAGTGTATATTTAATATTTAGTGTATATTTAATATTTAATTTAATATTTACTGTATATTTAATATTTAATGAATATTTAATATTTACTGTATATTTAATGTTTAATATTTAGTGTATATTTAATATTTAATTTAATATTTACTGTATATGTAATATTTAATATTTAATATTTAATGAGTGAGAGTATCAGGTGAGTTTGGGGGAACTTCGGCTCCTCTTCGGGCGACATTTTCAGAAGTTACGGTGGCTGTTCTCTGACATTTTGTCGGTGTGTTTCGACGGTACCGACCGATGACCTCCAGACGGATCCGTGAAAACAACCGAACAAAAGCGACCTTTAGTTGTCTCCGTTGAACACTCACACACTAACTTTAACTTTAGGCCCCGTTAACGGAACTTCACCAGAAGCTGATTTTAGACTTTAACCGGACATTTCGGTTCACTCACCGTTTGAAAACTCGACGTCAGAAGTCCAACCGGCGGCCGAACCGTCCGCTGACCGGTTCCCCGCTGAGGCTGCTGGTAGCGAGAGGTCTACCGGGAGGCTTACCGGGAGGGTTACCGGGAGGTTGGAGGGTTATCGGCGGTAAAGAGCTGAAGGCAGACTCTAACAGATGATGAGGTCACCGTGTTAAAAATAAAGGGATGTCGTCATCGAAGCTCCAGTCAAATGAACTCAACAGGATCCTTAAAGGGGCAGGACGCAGGCGCAGTGTGGGCCGACACATAATACACAACATAATACACAGAGACCCGGCTCTGCAGCAAGGTACGGAGGCCCGGGGCTGCCAATCACATATTTATATATATATATATATATATATATATATATATATAACATTTCTGCATTAAAGCAGACTCTGTTATATAATATATAACATATAATATATAACAGCACTGTTTGGTCCCAGTTAGAAATACTTGATTTTGGAACCAGTCTATAACCTGTGTATAATAACTGACTTTTTTTAAAGAAAGTGAATGGTTGCCCGTTAATATGCTCTTCAGTAAGTTGATCAGTAAGCGAACGCCTCATCGTCCTCTGCTGCTGCGTTCATGTGTCCTGAAGCTGCAGTTGGCGAGCGGCGGGCGGCGGGCGGCGAGCGGACTGAGGACAATGGATGATGAAAGCAGAAGAAAAGTTTTTCATTCTGGAGCAATTAGCATGCATGGCTAACTCACACTGATGAATGTGGATGAAACCATCAGAGCTGCAAGAGACTCTGATCACAAAACAACCAGCAATGAGCTCATTGTTCTCAGTTTTACAGACTGTCCTTGAACACCACAGCAGGTCACTTTTACCTGTTTATTGGTATTTTATGTTCTGTTTGTTCTGTAAACATCATCCATCTTACTGGACAAACTCCATCGGATGTGAGAATATTCCTAATATTTAATGTACTTGTTCTGCTCCTGGCACTAAAGGTCTTCCATACAAACAGCTTCAGATCAGAGAAGTGAAACTTTTGGCAGAAGTGGAACCCGGACGAGAAGTTCTGATGTTTCTGTCAGGTGAGAATCTGAATGCTGAGTCACTGTGAATCATTAAAAATATCATTTTAATCACTTTATATTTATATTTATATTAATATTTATACCTATATTTATATTTATATCTATATCTATATCTATATTTATATTTATATTTATATTTATATCTATATCTATATCTATATTTATATCTATATTTATATTTATATTTATATTTATATTTATATTTATATCTATATTTATATTAATATTTATATTTATATCTATATCTATATCTATATTTATATTAATATTAATATTTATATCTATATTTATATTTATATCTATATCTATATTTATATTAATATTTATATTTATATTTATATTTATATTTATATCTATATTTATATCTATATTTATATCTATATTTATATTTATATCTATATTTATAATAACATTTATATTTATATTTATATTTATATCTATATCTATATTTATATTTATATTTATATCTATATTTATATCTATATTTATATTTATATCTATATTTATAATAACATTTATATTTATATTTATATCTATATCTATATCTATATCTATATTTATATCTATATCTATATTTATATCTATATTTATATTTATATCTATATTTATATATATATTTATATTTATATCTATATTTATATTTATATCTATATTTAGATTTAGATTTATATCTATATCTATATTTATATTAATATATCTATCTTTATTTATATTAATATTTATATCTATATCTATATCTATATCTATATTTAGATTTATGTCTATATCTATATTTATATTATATTTATATTTATATTTATATTTATATTTATATTTATATCTATATGTATATTTATATCTATATTTAGATTTAGATTTATATCTATATCTATATCTATATTTATATTAATATATCTATCTTTATTTATATTAATATTTATATCTATATCTATATTTATGTCTATATCTATATTTATAATATAATTATATTTATATTTATATCTATATTTATATTAATATTTATATCTATATCTATATCTATATCTATATTTATATTTATATTATATTTATATTTATATAAATATTTATATCTATATCTATATCTATATCTATATCTATATTTATATCTATATTAATATCTATATTAATATCTATATTTATACTATATTTATATTTATATCTATATCTATATTATATTTATATTAATATTTGTATCTATATTTATATCTATATCTATATCTATATCTATATTTATATTTATATTATATTTATATTTTTATTTATATTTATATTTATATTTATATTTATATTTATATTTATATTTATATCTATATCTATATCTATATTTATATTTATATTATATTTATATTTTTATTTATATTTATATTTATATCTATATTTATATCTATATCTATATCTATATTATATCTATATTTATATTTATATTTATATTTATATTTATATTTATATTTATATTTATATTTATATTTATATTTATATCTATATTTATATATGACCTGTTCACAGATCACCTGTCTCATGTATTACTGTAGTTATTCTTGTATAAATGATCTGCTGCAGCTTTAATATTCACATTATATGAGAGACACAATCAGAATCAGAAATACTTTATTGATCCTCAGGGATTGGTCGTTACAGTTTCTCACACACATATATAATAATAATCAAGGTACTACAATGTTAAAGAATAGAAATAATACTTATATTACAATCCAACACAATATATATAGAATAGAAATGTATATTTATATAAGTAAATAATAAAAAGGAGCCTGTGTACCTTTAGTAATAATTATAAAATATATTAATATATATTAATATAATAAAGTAATGTATGCCACAGAAATAAAGTAAAAGTGAGTTTGTTGCTGAGGATGTTCTATGAGTCTGTTGTGGTCAGTACGATCTTCTTCACTGTCACATGCTGGGGCAGTGGGCTGAGGGTCGCAGACAACAACAGACTAAACAAACTGATCAGGAGGGCCGGTGATGTCCCTCGGTAATTCTGACTCTAAACGTAGACTATTATTCTTTTGCACTTTTACACATTAATACTGTACATTTGATCTCGTATATATATATATAGTTATATATATATATTTATATTTTTGGTGCTGAATGTTGTATATATATATGTTGTTTGTATAATATGTTGTTTGTATATCTGGAGTGTTGTAACGAAAATAATTATATATATAAGCATTTCTGATTCTGATTCTGATTAAAGATTGTTTTATTACAGAAGTTATAAATTATTACGAAGAATATCGGAATAATTAATTATAATTACATTTCACAGGATAATCTACTTTAAATCATAGAAAATACGTCATTATTACAATTGTTTTAATGAATTATTTAAGATTAATACAGAGAATGTAATGGTGGTGTTTGGGGTTTTCCCGCCTCCAGTCCAGCAGGTGGCGGTAATGCGCCTGTAAACGGATTGCTCTTCAACCGCTATTAGAACCCGAAGAAGAAGACGCTGACGTAACCGCGTTACGTCAACCGGAAACAGGATGTAAACACAGAACAACAACACGAAGCTAACTTAGCTTTTTGTGTGTGTCCGCGGACTGACTGGGAACTTTGTTTCTTTCACACGTTGTTTGAACGGAGCCATTAGCTCGCTGCAGCTAACGGGAGCTAACGGGAGCTAACGGGAGCTAACCAGCTAGCTGCCTGCGCGCTAGCGTTCAGCACAATGGATGATAACAAGGTAAGAGGCTAACGGCTAACGGCTAACGGCTAACGGTGACCAACGTTAGTGAAGTTATTAAAAGTGTTTACGGTAAATTACCGGTGAGTGAATGAATCTGTGACTTATATGCGACAATGTTAGCGAGTGAGCCGTCTGTAGTTGTCTGTAGCTGTCTGTAGCTGGCTGTAGTTGGCTGTCTGTAGCTGTCTGTAGCTGGCTGTAGCTGTCTGTAGTTGTCTGTAGCTGGCTGTAGCTGTCTGTAGTTGGCTGTAGCTGGCTGTAGCTGGCTGTAGCTGGCTGTAATTGGCTGTCTGTAGCTGGCTGTAGCTGGCTGTAGTTGGCTGTAATTAGCTGTCTGTAGCTGTCTGTAGCTGTCTGTAGCTGGCTGTAGCTGCTGTCTGTAGTTGATTGTAGCTGGCTGTAGTTGGCTGTAGTTAATTGTAGCTGTCTGTAGCTGTCTGTAGTTAGCTGTCTGTAGCTGGCTGTAGCTGGCTGTAGCTGTCTGTAGCTGTCTGTAGCTAGCTGTCTGTAGTTGTCTGTAGTTGGCTGTAGCTGTCTGTAGTTGACTGTAGCTGTCTGTAGTTGGCTGTAGTTAATTGTAGCTGGCTGTAGTTGGCTGTAGTTAATTGTAGCTGTCTGTAGCTGTCTGTAGTTGGCTGTAGTTGGCTGTAGTTAATTGTAGTTGTCTGTAGTTGGCTGTAGCTGTCTGTAGCTGTCTGTAGCTGTCTGTAGTTGGCTGTAGCTGTCTGTAGCTGGCTGTAGCTCTCTGTAGCTGTCTGTAGCTGTCTGTAGTTGTCTGTAGCTGGCTGTAGCTGTCTGTAGCTGGCTGTAGCTGTCTGTAGTTGGCTGTAGCTGGCTGTAGCTGTCTGTAGCTGTCTGTAGCTGGCTGTAGTTGTCTGTAACTGGCTGTAGCTGTCTGTAGCTGGCTGTAGCTGATTGTAGCTGTCTGTAGTTGGCTGTAGCTGTCTGTAGCTGTCTGAAGCTGGCTGTAGCTGTCTGTAGCTGTCTGTAGCTGGCTGTAGTTGGCTGTAGCTGGCTGTAGCTGGCTGTAGCTGGCTGTAATTAGCTGTCTGTAGCTGTCTGTAGCTGGCTGTAGCTGGCTGTAGCTGTCTGTAGCTGGCTGTAGTTAATTGTAGCTGGCTGTAGTTGGCTGTAGCTGTCTGTAGTTGATTGTAGCTGGCTGTAGTTGGCTGTAGTTAATTGTAGCTGTCTGTAGCTGTCTGTAGTTAGCTGTCTGTAGCTGGCTGTAGCTGTCTGTAGCTGTCTGTAGTTGGCTGTAGTTGGCTGTAGCTGTCTGTAGTTGACTGTAGCTGTCTGTAGTTGGCTGTAGTTAATTGTAGCTGGCTGTAGTTGGCTGTAGTTAATTGTAGCTGTCTGTAGCTGTCTGTAGTTGGCTGTAGTTGATTGTAGTTGTCTGTAGTTGGCTGTAGCTGTCTGTAGCTGTCTGTAGTTGGCTGTAGCTGTCTGTAGCTGGCTGTAGCTGTCTGTAGTTGTCTGTAGCTGGCTGTAGCTGTCTGTAGTTGGCTGTAGCTGGCTGTAGCTGTCTGTAGTTGGCTGTAGTTGTCTGTAACTGGCTGTAGCTGTCTGAAGCTGGCTGTAGCTGATTGTAGCTGTCTGTAGTTGGCTGTAGCTGTCTGTAGCTGTCTGAAGCTGGCTGTAGCTGTCTGTAGCTGGCTGTAGTTGGCTGTAGCTGTCTGTAGCTGGCTGTAGCTCTCTGTAGCTCTCTGTAGCTGGCTGTAGCTGTCTGTAGTTGTCTGTAGTTGTCTGTAGCTGGCTGTAGCTGGCTGTAGCTGGCTGTAGCTCTCTGTAGCTGGCTGTAGCTGTCTGTAGCTGTCTGTAGTTGGCTGTAGCTGTCTGTAGCTGTCTGTAGTTGGCTGTAGCTGTCTGTAGTTGGCTGTAGTTAATTGTAGTTGGTTGTAGTTAATTGTAGCTGGCTGTAGTTGATTGTAGCTGTTTGTAGCTGTTTGTAGTTGGCTGTAGTTGATTGTAGCTGTCTGTAGCTGTCTGTAGTTAATTGTAGTTAATTGTAGTTGTCTGTAGCTGTCTGTAGCTGGCTGTAGCTGGCTGTAGTTGGCTGTAGCTGTCTGTAGCTGTCTGTAGTTGGCTGTAGTTTATTGTAGCTGTCTGTAGCTGGCTGTAGTTAATTGTAGCTGGCTGTAGTTGGCTGTAGTTGATTGTAGCTGTCTGTAGCTGTCTGTAGTTGGCTGTAGTTAGTTGTAGCTGGCTGTAGTTGACTGTAGCTGTCTGTAGTTGATTGTAGCTGGCTGTAGTTGGCTGTAGTTAATTGTAGCTGTCTGTAGCTGTCTGTAGCTGTCTGTAGTTGGCTGTAGTTAATTGTAGCTGTCTGTAGCTGTCTG